TTTCCCCAGAGCATCAGATTGAACGCTATCTGACCCTCTTTTCCCAATGTGATGTTTTATGGTCTATCGGTGCGGACAGGTGATTTTTGAAGGCCCAGGACAGAGGAGCTGGGGGCTTGAGAATAGTGAGAAGCGGTGTGGCAGCCAGGGCAGGGCGGGGAAGTGCTGTGTGCATGTGTGTGTGCGTGTGTGTGCACGCGTGCCCGGTGTGAGGAAATGATCCCAAATCACGTACACGCTCACGATGACAACCTCCCTTCCAGGGACCTGCAGCACAGAGATCGTCCCCACCCAGCCCTCCAGGCCCCCAAGGGTGTGGCTGGCAGCCCTGCACAGACGCCACCACCAGCATTTTCTGGGAGCGAGGGATGCCCCTTCCTGGCCCAGCATCCTCCTCACCCGCAGGGCAGGCCGGAAACTGACCTCACTGCCCCTCCTCTGTCCAGGCAGAGCTGGGGGGACAGGGGCCGCCTGTGTTCCCCCAGCGCCCGGCCTCTGGGTCTCGGCATCAGACTCTCGAGCTGGCCAGGCTGGGACACTTCTTCCTGTCCGGGCTTTCCGGCTTCGCGTCCGTGGCCTCGAGGGCGAGGGGCGAGTGTGGGGAGCTGGTAAAGCGTCAGTAGAAAACCCTGCTTCCCAGAGGGGGTTTGGCACGTCCCTCCGCTCTGTCCCCGGAAGAGCCTCCATGCTGCTCGGGGCAGGCAGGGATGGGGAGGGCGGCCGGGAAGGGACCGGGGGCCGTAGCTCAGAAAAGACTAAATTGTTCCTCACCTGGTGAATCCCTGGTGGCCCACTAAATCCGGTTTTGATTTAAGGGGGATCGTGTGACGCCTAAATGGCCAGGAGTTATCTGTCAGACAGGGAGGCGTTCACATGCTATGAGAGGTGGATGCCACGGCCTTGGGGGGTCAGAGAGAGAGCAGATGCTTCCTGGATCACCGCCCTCCTCGCCCAGCTGGGGGGCACAGCATCACCCCATGGGCCATAAGGGGACAGTCTAGGCTAAGGTGAGCTCAAGCTCATAACTGGGGGTGCTGCTGTGGGGGTGGGGTTCAGGGGCACCTAGAGCAGGTGGGAGGGAGGAGGGACAGTGCATGCCAACATCCAGGGACAGTAAGCCTGCTGGCACAAGAGCCGGCTCTTATGTGGAGTCGGGAAGGGGGGTGGCAAGTGCACCCAGAGTGGACAGTCTTGAGGGCTGAGGAGCTTGTGGGACATCCTGTATCCTCTTGGTCTCTGTGCTCTGGGCCTGGGTCCCTCCTCTGCTCCCCTGGGAGGGGATGGCAAGCTTCCTGGGAAGGCGGGGTCCCTCTGGTTCCAAAGCCCCACTCCAACCCATCTGAGCGGCCCAGAGCCAGGACAAGGTCGGGGAGGGGTGGTTGTGAGCACCTGTTGGTGGCCTCTTGGGGGCAGCGAAGTCACCGTTTCCCACAACCCAGCCTGTGGTGGGCAACCGCTGCCTGGCCCAGAAGAGGCTCCAGTCCTCTCTGCCCCTCTGCCCCACGAGCCACAGAATTTTCTGCCCACACAGCCCAAGGTCCAGATCCTTAGACAGCATCTGAGGCTTGTGTGCCCCCCTCTGCACAAAGCCTAGGCCCCCGCGGGGCAGAGCCCAGAGTGTCCGGGGGCAGAGCCCGGAGAGTCCCGGAGCAGCCAGCCCTGCCTGGAATGCAGCCTTGCTCGCTCTCAGGAACAGGGCGCATCTGGAAAAGCGTTTGTGAAGAACCCGCTCTGGCAGGGCAGCGAGGCTGCAGGCGGAGCAGCCCCCAGCCCCGCCCAGGGCGCAGGGGCGGGGGAGGGGCAGTCCCCCCAGAGCCTGGCTGGGCCTGTGGGCTGGGAGGCTGAGCCTGTAGCCCCGTCCGTGGGAGGGCCGTGGCCCTGAATCAGGCTACCGGAGGAGAAGCTGGGCCTGCCCCGAGCCCTGCTCCCAGGCTAGTGGGTCTGCAGGGGGCTCTGGCCTCTCCCAGCTTCTCTGTGTGCCCCCTCGTAGCCCCAGGCCCCCCCCCCCCCCAGACCCTAATCATTCAGGAAAGCTGAGGAGGTCCCCCCCTCTCACCCCTCACCCATCCGAGCACCTCTGGGGCCTGGGTCCCCCAGTCCTTGTACTTGTTCCTGGGGACTCCATCTGGTCACCGGACCCATCAGGGGCCTTCCTCACAGGCGGGCAGAGAACCAGACGTGGGCTCTGGGGATTAGGGGTCCTGGGTTCTGGTCCCAGCTCTGCCATTCCTTGGCAAGTCACTGGCATCTGGGCCTCCCAGGACGGTGGTGCCGACGGGCCATCAGCTAGAGGCTGTCTCCCTCCTCCCCTGCCTGGCTGGCCCAGCTTTGTGGCAGACCAGTGCAGGGGTGCGGGGCCTCCCTGGGTCTGGGCTCCAGTAGGGGACCTTCCTCCGCTCCCATTGACATCGGGCCCCGGTGCATTATGGGCCATGGCAGGTGAATAAGGGGGCTTTGTGCTGGACATGCCTGTATTCCGACGGCACTTGCAGGCGAGGTCGAGGACTTGAGCCAAAGGAATGGAGTGCATGGGGAAGAGGGTGGAGACGCAGGGGTGGCCGGTGTCACCCTGAGGACCTTCATTTATCATCCTGAGACTAAAGGGTGCCTGGACAAAGTGCTTTGCCTCCCTGTGATCCCTGGGCCCCCATCTCCTGTCCAGAAGGACATGGGCCTCTGCCCAGTCCACACTCACCACGTGTGCCCTCCAGCCGCACACTCTGCCACCCAGGGGCTCGCACGCAGCCTGCAGGCTCACGCGGCAGAATGCAAGCCTTGGGGGCGCCGTCCCCCAGAGCCAGGGACCGTGTGCTCCGTGGATGTTCGACGGACAACTCAGTGGGTCCCAGGTGCCTCTTGCCCTCGCGCCTGGTGCAGCGTCCTGTGTCCTCAGCTGCACAGACCCTGACCTGGACCACAGACACAGTCACAGAACCCGGGACACGCACAGGTCACCAAGGCTCCTAGTCCCCTCTCTCTCTCCAGCGCGAGTCCAGGGGTCCCCGTGGGCCTGGGGCCAGCCGCTCTCCCCGCCACCTTCAAGCCCTCCCTGGGACTCGGTACCTGTCGGGGTCCGAGCTCATCCCTGCACCATTGGAGGGCAGGGACAGGCGAGGCCTCAAGACCCGGAAGCCAAGGGGGAGGGAGGAGGACAGTGCGTGTGTCCCTGAGATCAATGAAGGGCGACGGTCCCGCTCCAGAGCACCCTGGCTGAGTTTCCCCGTCCCCGGAGCCTGGTCTGAGGGGAGACAGGGCCATCCTCTGGGCCGGGGTGCAGGGACCTCAGGCCTGTGGATGGAGCCCTGGGGCCAGGGGCCAGGGCGGGAGGGAGCCTGTCAGGCTGCAGAGAGCTGAGCCAGGGCTGCCCAGGGACGGGTGTGGAGGAGGCTCGAAGTGGCCCCAGTGGACCAGCGCGCTCCCTCTCTGACAGTTCATGAGGCACAGGTTACTCTGGCCTCAGATGCTGGGCCTCAGCAGCCAGGGCCTGCCGGCCACCATGCTGACTCCCGCCTCGCGTCTGCTCCATCCTGTGTTTACGGGCACTTAGGTGGACTGAGTAGACCACGCTCCCCCACCTCCACCCCACAGGCCGCCTGCCAGCAAACACCAGGCTGACCCCTAGTGGCTCCTTGCTGGGGCACGGCGGCCCTGGTGTTGCTGTGGCAGAAGGGAGGCCAGGGGAGGGGCCTGGTGTCACCTCTGCAGATGGCCCCTGGACAGGAGACATATGACCCACACGCTCATTCCTGCCCTGCCCCTGGTACATGCAGAACTCGGAAAGTCCTCCCCTCACTGGGCCTCAGTTTCCCACCTATAAAATGGGGAGAAGCCAGCACACAGGCAGGGTTGCGTTGCAGCGGGCAGGAGGTGGGAGAGGAGGCCCAGGGAGGGCCCCTCTCTCCTGGGCCTGGCCTCCCTGCTCAGGCTGCCCCCTTCCACACTCCAACGTGTAGGGGGCAGGTGGACGGGGCCCCAGTTCCCCACCAGCCTCTGGGCCCAGGACTCCAGTTTCCTGCTCAGTTTGTCGGCTGCCACTGGATCTCTGCTTGGGGCGCAGGGAACAGACGGGACTTCAGGTCTGCATCTCTTCCCTTCCTCTGCGGGGCGGGGATGGCTGGGAGCCTGTCTGCTTCCTCCCTGCCTCCCCACTCCTCACTCTGCCCCTTTCTGCTCTGGTCTGGGGTCCAGCGGGGTCTCCCCCTCTGCGCGTTCATCTCTCTCAGCCCTGGCCTGCAGCATCGTCTGCCTGGGGGCTTCTCTGTTTCACTCCCATCCCTGCGATGACTCTACTTCCCCCTGAAGCTGTGTGTCTTTCTCTCGGCGCCAGTCTGTGCCCGGCCGCCTTCCTCGCTCCTCCTCGCTCCCGGCCGGCCGTCTCCCGTGTTCGGAAGCTGGGCCGCCTCGGAGCAGAGCGCCCTCACCTGCCCTTCCCTGCCCCCACCAGCCCCTGAAGCGGATTCCAATGCTCCGGAAGCTGGAGTCCTCCGAGCGGGGCCTCCCGGCACCCTCGCTTCCCCTCAGGCCGGCCCTTGGCCACAGCGTGGAGGGCGGCCCCAGACCATCTCCGGGACTTCCGACGCCTTGGTGCTCCCATCCGCTAGGCCTGGCTGGTTGCGTGGGCTCTGGGGCATCCCTGAAATGGTACTCAGGCCTTGGGGTGCAGGCGGCCCAGACTGCCCCTCCGATCCCTGCCCCCGTGGACTCCAGAGCAACACCAGTCTGCAGTGGGAGGGGGACACCGGGCCAGAGCCAGGGAGGGCAGTGTCCACGCACCGCATCTGGACTGCTTGGCTCTGCCCTTGGGCACCCCGTAAGCTTGGCACTCAGGGCGGGACCCCTGGAGTTCTCTGGCCCCCTGAGTGGGGCCAACTTGGAGGAATTTCCCAAAGCCTATTAGAGCGGTGGCAGCCTTCTGCCTGCCTCCTGGGGCTGGGCAGGGCTGAGGGCGGAGGGAGGGCGGGCGGGAGGGAGGGAGGGGTGAGAGGAGGAGGGAAAGTTGGCAGTCCAACCGCGGAGCTGTGTCTGCATCCATCGAGAGGAGGCCGTGCGGTGTGGGGCGGGCCAGGAGCAAGGAGAGGCCTTCCTCCCTTTGTGCTCCCCCCCCTCCCACCCCCCGGGGCCCTATAAATAGGCCCAGCCTGGGCTGTGGCTCAGCTCTCAGAGGGAGTCGAGCACCAGGCAGCGGTCTCCAGCCAAGCCCCCTGCCAGCATGGCCAGCGAGTTCAAGAAGAAGCTCTTTTGGAGGGCGGTGGTGGCCGAGTTCCTGGCCATGACCCTCTTCATTGTCATCAGCATCGGTTGTGCCCTGGGCTTCAATTTCCCGCTGAAGAACAACCAGACGTCAGGTGCCTCCCAGGACAATGTGAAGGTGTCACTGGCCTTCGGGCTGAGCATCGCCACGATGGCCCAGAGCGTGGGCCACATCAGCGGCGCCCACCTCAACCCCGCTGTCACGCTGGGGCTGCTGCTCAGCTGCCAGATCAGCGTCCTCCGGGCTGTCATGTACATTGTCGCCCAGTGCGTGGGGGCCATCGTCGCCACCGCCATCCTCTCGGGCATCACTTCTTCCCTGCCCGGCAACTCCCTGGGCCGCAACGAGGTGAGTAGGGGGCCTGCCCGTCTCATCCTCCACCCACTGCGCAGATGGGGACGCTGGGGAACAGAGAGGACAGGAGGTTGCTAGAGGCCATGGAGACCGAGGGCTGGAACTCAGCTCCATGTGCAGCCCGAGTGTTTTCTGCCAGGCACTGTGGGAAGCTGAGGCCCAGAGAATAACAGTCTTGCCAATGTCCCCTGAGGGCACCTATTGTGGGGACTAAGCCCTGGAAGCAGCGAACGTCTGGGCAGCGATTCTCCTGTAGTTTCTGCCCCCTCAGCCATGCCCGTGCGGCCGCTCCCTCCTCCTGCAGCCTGTCCCAGCCCCCGAGCCAGATGCCCGCAGGCAGGTCTGCAGGTGTGGGGGCAGGACTCCTGTAGGGGGCCTCGTGGACCTCCAGGGAGCCCCACACTCACACGGGTCCCCAAACAAACTGCCTTCAGGAAAATCCCTTCCCACTCCTCTGGCCCCAGGAGTCGGACAGACTCGGGCACAGAACCGTGTCGGGCTGTTTGCAGGTGGCTTTCCTGGACGGCAGGGTGAGCCAGGGCAGGGACGGCTGGCCCCTGTCCGGGCTCCACTCTGCCGCTGGGCACTGAGAGGGGTGTCCCGTGTGTCCGTGTGTGAATGCGGGATGCACGTGGATGCCGGCGCGGGTTTCGAGTTTGTGTGAACGGAGGCTCCGTGGGTGTCTGTTTCTGCACGCATGTCCGTGAGCAAGTGAGTGCAGCTGTGGGAGCCCGTGGGGGGCGAGTGTGTCCCCGCCTGTGCCCACCGCCTGTGGCTTGAATAGGGCCTGGGCTAGGGGCACTAATGTTAAGCAGATGTTGGCAACTGGGTGGCAGCTGCTGAGAAGAATGTCTCGTGGGCGCTTAGCGCAGCTAATTGGCCTCTGGCTGCGGCTGCAGGCTGCCTCAGACCTGGGCTTTTCCAGACCCCGGGCCAAGGGCATACTCAGGCTGGGCCTGGGCCACAGCGGGGGGAAGTTTGGCCCGACAGGCTGAGGAAGGCTTGAAGGCTGCCGTGGAGCACCTGAGGGGTGCTGGCCCAGGGAGGGGGAGAGGCCAGGGAGCAGAGAGGAGGGATCAGATCAGCAGAAAGGAGGCTGGCGGGGCCCGGGCAGGGCAGGAGGGTGTGGGGACAGTAAGGGAGATGACCGTGGGTGGTTACGGGGTGACTGTCCTCCGGCTTCCCAGGCAAAGTTCAGTCCCTGGCTTGGTAAGGTGTGTGCAGAGGCAGCTAGCCCGGCCCTGCCACCGGGGTTAGCGCTCCTTGCGTCCCAGTGACACCTCCCCCAGCCCTCTGGAGAGCCCGCAGCCTCGGGGCGAGGTTAAAGATTAGCCCTGCAGGCTGCAGTTTAGACTTTGGTCAGGGAAGACATGGCCGTGGTGGGCATAAGGGCCATGCCCCTCCAGGCCTGTCTCTCCAGTTGGGGCAGAGCCAGGCAGCGGCAGTGCCCTTCTGGGTAGGGCCAGGTTCCCACTGGAGCTCAGCTGGGCATGATGGGATGGTCCTCAGAGGGGAAGAGCTATGTCTCCCCAGGCTTGCTGGGCCCCTCTTTACCCCCCCCCCCTTTCCAGGGACAGGCAGGACAGGCCTCTGCTGGCGGGCTTGGTCCTCTCTAACACGGGCATCCAGGCAGATGCCCGGAGGACACGCCTGTGCCATCCTGATTTGGCCACACCCTGCTCCAGTGTCTCTTCCCCTCTCTGGCCTCCACTTTCCAGAGTCACCCCAATACCTGGGCTGGGCAGGTTGCAGACGGGGAGGGGAAGGGGCAGCCTGGTTCAGGGGCCTTCCCTGTGCCAGGGGACAGGACCCGTCTGCTGCTAACTTGCTGTTTCCTTGGAGCCAAGGCCCCTGAGCTCCACCAGGGAACCTAGGTGTCTCGACAGCTCTCTGCCACGCCCATCCCTCCAGCAAACTTGCTTCCTGGGCTTGAGTGTATCACCCTTTCCAGGGGTCTGGCTAAGAGGCCCCAAGGGGACATGCTGAACTCGAGTGCTCTGCGCATTGTCGTGGGACCAGGGCACTGCCCAGCCCGCATGGTGGAGGCAGAGTCTCCCACCTGCCGAGCGAGCCTGTCAGACACTGGACCTGGGATTTGATGGGACCTGGGGGTGGCCTCAGTCCTCAAGAGGGACAGAGACCAGTTCACCCAGCTGGTGGCTTCTCTTTCCTCCAGACCCCAGGGGGGGCTCCCCTGGGCCCCGGGCCCCACCCTGACCCAAGCCAGGGTGGAGCCCGTCGTTGGCATGGAGATTTCCAAAGAAAATAGGGAAAGAAATGGCAGGAAGTGGTTGGGGTGAGTCAGGGGGTGTCCCCCAGGGACACGGCAGAGAGAACTTTCTCCTTACTGAGTCAGGGCTCAGGATATGCCCTGGAGAGACCCCGGGCCTCTGTCCAGCCTGCAGGATTCCTGGTTGGTTCTAAGAGTCAGAACCCGATTTCGGCCAAGGAGAGGGGCTCGGGCAGGGGTTGGTGCCCCGGCCAGACCCAGCCACTACTACCTGTGTGACTTCATGCGAGTGGCCTGGTCCACATGGCCCAGCGCCGCCTGGGAACGGGGACGAGCAGGGCGCGGCTGGGCTCTGGGATGTGGCAGATGCTTGTCCATGAGCCCAGAGGTCCTGACCATCGGCTCTTTGACTCTGCCCCTCTTGGGCTCCCTGCTCAGGGCCCCGGCACCCGGGTCCGGACGGCCGGGCTCAGGGCGGCTGAGTCAGCCGGCTCCATGCCCCGGGAAGCCCACGGCCGGTGCGAGATAAGCCCCGTGCACAGCTGCTCGTGATAGGAGGCAGGAGGCAGGTGTGATAAGAGGTGCAGGGAGGCCAGGGACCGTCTGGCCTTAGGGGCCGGGGAGGGCCGGGGAGGGTCATGGCCTGGGACTTGTAGGCTGTGGCCGACTGGGGTCGTGGTGGGAGGCTGGGGTTCTGGAGGATGGTGAGGACTCAGGCTCAGGCCGGTGTCTGACTGTGTCCTAGGGGGGACTGGATTCCTGGCCTTCCCAGGCCTGGGGAAGCCCCTTGGAGGTTCAGGTAGAGAACGAACCTCCCGTCTCGGGGTCTCTCTCAGCCCTGCCGACTCTGGGCCCGACTGTCTTTTCTGCATCAGAGGCCTGACCGTGGCCCTCAACTTGCCCCTTCCCCAGTTTCCTGGGCCTCAGTTTCCCCAACCACAGAGTGAGAGGCCCCCAGGCCACTGCTTCTTCCAGGGTGGGGACCACTCCTGTCTCCTCCAGAGTTGGCAGGGGGGCTGGGGAAAGGGAAGCCAGGGTTTTCCAAGGACCCCGTCCTGCCAGGCTCCCAGGGAGGGGCTGGGGCTGGCTGGGGCTGCCCTGGCTGGGACATATAATTACCGTTTCCAGCCAGAACCAGATGAGGGGGAGGGCGCAGAGAGAGGCAGGACCTTTGCGGTGGAGACATCTCTCCCTGTGGAAACTTCTGAGGCTGTTTACCCCCCTCAGAGTCTCAGAGCAGCCCGGCCCTTGTGGCCTTGCTCCTGGTCTAACCAGGGCTCGCCTAGGGAAGCCCTCAGCGCAAGGGTGATGCCTTAGAGAGGGCGCCTCGGCCTCCGGGGACTCGCCTTGCCCCCCTCCCCAGGCCTCAGCCCCCCTCCCGCCTTGCAGGCCTCCTCAGCCTGACTCGGCCAGGCAGTGCTCCCTGCTTTCTCCTGGGCCCCACCCAGTGGGCATTCCTTCAGCGGGCACCCAGTGGGGTTCTCCCCAAGCAGCTCCAATGTGCCCCTGCCTGCCCCTTGGGGACTGGCTTAGAGAGCTTTCCTGGGGGCATAGGAAGTCCTCCCTGGGGTCTCGGTCCCCACCCTCCGGAAGAGCCAATGGCTGGGGCTGAGCGTACACCCTGCAGGTGTAGGCAGGCAAATGTCCTCATGGCCAGGGTCCCGCAGCCAGGGCCCCTCCCCAGGGACCAGAGGGGCTCCCTGCCCACAGCGCTGCCCAGTGGGGCGAACACACCCAAGGCCAAAACCCCCAACCCAATAGATGGTAGAAGAGGCTGGAGAATGAGCGAGCCCTCTGAGGTCCTGGGGCCCACCGTGCGGACGGCTCGCTGTCAGAGTACAGGGGACTGTTTCCGCCGGGAAGAGGCTGCCTCCGTCCGCGCCAGCGAGCTCCCTCGGCAGCGCCGCGCAGGTGGAGCCGCCAGGCAGCCGCTGCCCCGCGTCTGGCCTTTGGGGCGCAGCTGGCGGTGGGAGGTCCTGTGAGGGCTCGGTGTGCGTGGGTCCCTGGACCTGCCCGGGAGGGTGACCGTGGGTCTGGGAGGCAGGGGTCCATCTCAGGGGGGGAGAAACCCCTGAGACTGTCTGTGTTAGAATCAGAGCCAAGACCCCCCATTTTCCCAAGTGGACACACTTAAGCTGCGTGCACACACACACGCGCGCACACACACACGCATACATGCACGCACACACGCATGAGCACACGCACGCATGCACACACATGCACACACATGCACACATGCACACACACATGCACACATGCACACATAAGCATATGCACACACGCACGTGCACACACATGCACACATGCATGAGCACACGCACACACGCACACATGCACGAGCACATGCACACATGCACACACACTGTTATCTGACACACAGGGTACACGCATGTGGGCCTGAGGCAGTTCTCAAGTCTGGGTGGCTCCACGCAGGCCTCGGGACCCCCGGAGTGGGGCGGGGGCTTCCCAACGGCGCCTCTTCCTCTTGGGGCGGGCAGGGACAGGGCTGCCCGGAGGGAGGGGGAGGGAGGGACGGAGGAAGCCATCGCTTTGTGTATTGTTTCTTGTCAGGAAGGCAAAATGGCTTCTGCAAGCAAATAAAGGGCCTTTGAGACCTGCTCTCCCTCACTCGAGGGGCCTCCTTCCCGTCTCCAATCTGCCCTCAGCTAGTGGTGGCAACTTTGTGTGGGTGGGTGACACACAGGCACACACGGTGACACGCTCAGAACCGCCATCAGACACCCAGCATGGCTGCCAGGACACATGCCGCACGGAGCCCCCGGAACACAGAGCCCCTCAGAGCGGCCGGCGCCCTGTGCGTTGGGGTCCTCAGAGCCGGCCGACACGCACTGGCCAAGGCACAGCCACACGTCTGAGTGTCCCACGTGGGCTGAAAAGTGTGTCGTCTCAAACCGGGAGTGCAGGGTTTGACGTAGTGGCCTTAAATCAGGCGCGTGCACACATGAATGGCCATGGTGGGTGGCACAGGCCCTCTGAGGGCCCCAATGTGAGTCCAGGGGGCAGCGGGCAGGCCTCCTGTCTCCCAGCTCCTGCTCATCAAGAGAAGATGCTCAGAGCCTCAGCTGGGTCTGGATCTGGAGACCCCCAAGAGTGGGGTGCCAGGGTGCCCAGGCCAGTAGGGGCCCTGGGCCTTGGAAGTTCCCTTAGCCCGCCATGGGCAGCAGAGAGGGTCTGAGGATCATTGCTGCGAGAGGCCAGCCTGTGCACTCGGGAACACCGGCAGCTGAAGGGCCATCTTCTGCTGGTCCCCAGTCCAAGCTGGGAACAGCCCGGTCCCTTGGCTGGGCCTGTGGGTAGCCAGCACCTTGGCCGGTGAGTGAGGGAGGCAAATACCTGGGGCAAGGATCCTGGCTTTGCTGTCTCCTCCCTGAGTCTCAGCCTCCCGTCCACCACCTCACCGAGCCCTTGCACCGGCTGTCCCCAAAGGACCACGGAGAATAACGCCTGGCCTGTGGTCCCCGGCTAGAAAGTGAATACACCATCCTGAGTCCAGAGATTTCCCTGGATCCAGGCCGTCTCCAGAGAGGGGGCAGTTCTAGATAATTAGCACCCTCCTCCACTTATGTAACCACACGGCGCGTGTCCCCTCCAAGGTCTGGCAGGGAGATGGGAAGATCCCCCGCCCTGTCCTCACCAGGCGGCTGAGCCCCCCCATCGGAGGCAGGAGGGCTGTCTCTACAAGAGGTTCACGCAGTGCAGTGAGGGCCTGGGGGCGTAACCGCAGACGCTAATTCCAGCCAGGGACCCGGGAAGGCTCTTCGGAGCCGGGGGCCTGGGTGCGCCTTGCGGGGTGGCTTTGGTGGGCTTGGCATGCAGCTCGCAATGTTCAGGAGCTTCAGATACCACGTGTGGATCAGTCTGTCATTTATATTTGCTTTCACAAGACTGGTTGTTACATTTTTTTGGTGGCCTTAATCAGTGATCTGCAAACGTGTATATTTTTCAGTAACAAGTGACTACACCTGGGCTTGGCCCTACTTTTAATTGTTTCAAATTTAATGGGTTGTAGATAGTAACATATGTGTTGATTTTTTAACCTGCTCTTTCCTGGACATCAGGTTTCAACCGACCTTTAATTACCCCTTCCAATTCTGAATTATCAAGTTCTTCCAGATGTAAGTAACACAACTGTGTGGGCCGTTGACGGAGAGGTGGTCAGTAGACAGTGAAGCAATCAGGGGAGGCTTCCTGATGGTGGTGGTGGTAATGGGTTTTGAGAGAGGAAAGTCACCAACCCAGGTGGTTCTGGGCAGTCAGGTTCTGAAGGGTCTGGGCAATCAGCAAGGGACATCTGGAGATTCTGGAGCAGGTGGCCCATTCCTGTGGCCTCAGAGTGCTGGCCAGGGCACCAGCCCGTGCTCACTTTGCATGGGAAATGGTGCCTCTGGGGAGAGCAGGGGCTGGGATGCTCAGACCTGGTTAAACAATGGGGGAGCCGATGAGCTCATCCAGGCCACATCTGGGAGAGGGGCGGGCAGAGATGGGGGTGTATGAGGCGGGAGCCACTTAGAGCAGTGGCTCCATTAATCGGTGTGGAAGGGCTGGTTTCAGGACCTCTGCCAGGCAGCAATTAGGCCGACCCGGAGAGCAGAGGAGAGGCAGGAGGAGGGGCCCGAGCTTCCTGAGCGCTCAGACACGGAGGCTAGTGGCAGGTGTTCGTGTGATGCATTGGTACGAGCGGCCGGCCTCCCCAGCCTGGCATCCGTGAGGCCTCGCTCCTATCTCCACACCCCTGTGCAGCAGGGCGCCCCCTCCTGCCTGTCCCCCGTCCTGGGATAAGATGAAAAAGAACCAGAACAAAGGCACAGCTCGCCTGCTCCCTCCGGCCTCTGCAGCCCTTTCCAAACGCCCCTAACAGCCCCATTGCCTTAGGTCTATTTCATATGGGGAAACTGAGGACCAGAGAAGGCAAGGGGCTTGGCCGTGGGCCAGCGAGTCAGAGGGTAGGGGCCCGAGCACAGGGCTCCTCCTCCAGGCCCCACCTCGGGTGGGAAGAGGTGGGCATTGCCCAGAGAGCTGGCTGAGCTGAGGGCGCAGGTCTGGGGTCGGCCGGGAATGGCCCTGCGCTGGGGCCGCAGCACAGGGACAGGGATGTGAGTCACCTTCCCTGTGACCCAGGGCGCAGACAAAGGCAGAAAGAGAATTGTTCTTGTAAGACGCCCTCGGTGCGGGGCTGAGAGAACTTCTGGGGGCTGGAGGAGTGCCCCTCACCTAGGATTTTGCAAAATGCCCAGCTGGCTTGGAGACACCCTCCTGCCCTCAGGGTGAGACTTCAAGTTCAGGCTTGTTTGGACACACTGGCCCTGCCGGGGGAAGCAGCCTGTGTGACCACATCCAGGTGTCTTTTGGAATGGGCCTTTGCTGGTGTGGCCCAGGGGTTCTGCGTGGGCACCCCGGCCCCTGAGAGCCCACATGGGGGAGCATGCAGGGGCTCCCTGGAGAAGGGGCTCCCTGCTGCAGCCACAGGGGGAGGGCTCGGTGACCTCACAGCAGCTCCCGTTCCCTTCCTTTTCCATGAGTCATGTTACTAAAAGTGGCCCCAGAGCAAGGGACAGCTAGAGGGTGGTGGCCCATGTGGCCAGAGGGAGGGAGGGGGCTGGGCCAGGAGAGAGAGGGAAGGGGCGGACAGGGAGGGCAGGGCCAAGGGGACCTGGGGGAGCACTGGATCGGGGGAGAGGCAGAGGTGGGGAGGGGCAGGGTGGGGACAGGGGCTTTAGATGCAGCCAGGGATGGGGTAGAGTGTTGTGGACTTTGGGGATAAAAAGCAATGTCTTCAGCTGGGCGTCCCCACCCATTTGCTTCTCTTCTATGACTTCCCTGAGTGTCCTGACCACCTCCTCCCATGCCTAGGCCTCCCCCTCGCCTATGACCTTGACCCCCAACGACTATGGCCTGGGTACAGCTGGGTGCAGATGTCCCTCCTCCGCACAGGCTTGCTGGTCTCTAGGCAGAGCATCCCAGGCCTGTCAACAGGCAGAGAGGGGACAAGGCCTGCTGTCCACTCCCAGCTGTGTGCTCGGGCCGCAGGGGCTGATGGGCTGCAGGGCCCCGAGCCAGCCCCACCGGCCCTGCTCACCACGGCTTGGGCCCCTGTTCCCACAGCTGGCCTCCGGTGTGAACTCGGGCCAGGGCCTGGGCATCGAGATCATTGCCACCCTGCAGCTGGTGCTGTGTGTGCTGGCCACCACCGACCGCAGACGCCGTGATCTCGGGGGCTCGGCCCCCCTTGCCATAGGCCTCTCTGTGGCCTTGGGACACCTGCTGGCGGTGAGTTGGGGGTTCCCAGGTGGGGGTGGGGGAAGAGGGCCGGGCCAGGCAGGGCTGTCAGGGTGCCCTGTCTCCAGCAGTGGAAGGGACCTTCGACTGGGCTCATTCCCTGTGTGTGTGTGTGGGGGGGCTATCAGCTCTTTGGGCCTTCGGGGGAGGCAGGTCTGCCCACGAGGGGGGAGCATGGGGGCCTCCTGACCATTTTTCTGGGTCCATGTGCCCCTCTATCTGGTTCTGATTGCCACCTCTGTCTTTGCTGTCACCTTCCTCCTCTCCCTGTCTCTGTTTGACTTCCCTCTGCCCACCCGTCCCTTCCCCTCCAGATCGACTACACCGGCTGCAGCATTAACCCTGCCCGGTCCTTCGGCTCGGCGGTGATCAGCAACAACTTCAGGGACCACTGGGTAAGGGCTGCCATGGAGGTGGGGGGGCTTGGTGCCTACGGGAGGCCCGGCCCCACCCCGTGATGGCTCCCAAGGCAGAGGCTCGGAGCAGCGGGGCCGAGGGAACCGGGGCACTGAGACCGGACGTGGAGGGCTGGTGGGCCGTGGCTTGAACAGCCTGGGCTCAGACCGACCCCGAGCCAACCCAGCAGCGTGGCTGAGAGCGAGACCCCATTCCTGGCTCTGCCGCGTTCCCACTGAGCGTGACGTGGGCCGGCTGCTGGCCCTCTCCGGGCCCGTTTCCTGAGCTGTGGCGTTGGGGTGCGGTGGCCCTGCCTACCCCCAGGCTGCTGGGAGGACAGATGGCCTCACCACCCATAGGCTGAGCTCAGCGTGGAGGAAGTGCCCGCAGGCTTGGCTGTCTTACTGTTGGGGTGTGTGCTCTAGGCCAGTCTTTAACCAAACCAGGCTGGTCTTCCACAGCGGGGCCAGGGAGGTGGCCCCTCGAGAAGGGGCTGGTCTGACCACACCAGGCACGTTAACTGGGCCTCAGGCAAGGAGATGCCCACTACCAGTTCCGGCTTAGGCCAGTTGTGGGGGGCACTGGAATCGGGATTTGGGGTGCAGCGCTGCCTGGCTCTGTCCCAGACACAGGTGGGAGGGGGGTGGGGTGGGGCGGGAGACTTGGGGACAGCGTCCCGGGAGAGGGGCCTTCAGTGGGGCTCGAAGGCTGGTGGCCGCTGAGCCTGCCTGCTCTGTTCCAGGTTTTCTGGGTGGGGCCGTTCATCGGGGCCGCCCTGGCCGTGCTCATCTACGACTTCATCCTGGCCCCGCGCAGCGGCGACCTCACGGACCGCATGAAGGTGTGCACCAGCGGCCAGGTGGAGGAGTACGACCTGGATGGCGACGACATCAACTCCAGGGTGGAGATGAAGCCCAAGTAGAGGGGCCTGGCCACACATCCATGCGGGGACGGGGCAGGGGCGGGCGGAGGGGGGAGGGGTGAAATCCATATTGTAGACACTCTGACGAGCTGGCCAAAGTCACCTGCCGAAGATCCGCAGGACTTCGTGGCCCAGCCTGATCTGGGGCTGTTTCTATCACTTTCTTTCTCTTTCTCTGTTTCCTGGCCTCGGGGCTTCCTGGAGACCAAGGCTTACTACTCACCCGCTCCCCTGAAGTCACAGAGGAGACGAAAGAGAGGGACCCACCTGCTAAGTTGTCCCCTCAGAGTGTGACAGGAGGTTTGTCAGAAAGTCCCCTCATCCCCGAGGAGCGCACCTGCGGCGGGTGCTGGGCCCCGGATCACTGCTCTGTCCCTTAGGGCAAGGCCCTTCCCTGCAACGTGCACTTTGCCCCGAGGCTACTTCGAGGGGCCACGCGGGAGCGGTGGACAAGCTTTGTCCGAGCAGCTCGGCTTGCTTCCGGGGCCTCCCTTGGATGTGTTGCAAGGCCTGGGCATCGTCCCTCTCTCGGGCCTCAGTGGCCCCTTCTGTAAAGTGGCAGGGACAGAGAGAGCGCTGTGGGCCTGAGGTCCCTGTCTGGGATTCTGTAAGTGTAGACACGTCGTGGTTCTGGAAGACGGAGTTTGGACCGGCGCCATGTCTTCCACCTGCACCGGGCTCTTTCCCAAGCAGAGAGCTGTGAGGTGCACACATGGACATGGGCCCGCGAGCATGCATGTTTCAAAGCAGCAGCCGGTCCAGCCATGGGACTCTCCCCCCGCGGTGGCTTCACCAGACAGGGCTGCGCTGCCGCATGAAAGCCATGTAGAGGTCAAAGGAGGACACTCCTGTTTTCTCACTGAGTTTCAGTTGCTCTTTTCCACCTAGCACCGCATCATCTGGACCATTATTTGGTCCTCCATGTCCTCCTGCTGCAGTCGACACGGGGCAGTTTTGCAGGTGTGTGTTTATTAAGGGACAGTTTGTTATCCAAAGCCCCGAGCCTGGGGACAGATGACCGTGATGTGGCTCAGCCCACGGAAGCAGATGCCCTTGCTGGACGCTCAGGGGCTTTCCAAGCCCCCAGCTGATCCTGAGGGGGGAGGAGGAGCAGATCCCCCTGACTGCTGAGCTCCTGGTTGGAGGCATTTACGGCAGCGGGGTGACCGGCACAGGCTCCTTGTGTGACCCAGGCCACTGCCTTCCCTCGTCGCTCCCCAGAGGGAGAGTCGGCCTCGAGCCGCAGCCCAAGTGTGGTTCGGAGCACAGGGTCTGTCTCGGGGCAGCTGTCCACACAGTCCATTCACTTCCACCAGGGCCAGAGCAGGTCCCCATGTGCCACAGCCGTGCTGGTGACAAAAACTAAGACACAATACCCAGATATCTAGAAGCAGGAGCCTTACCGGTCACCGACACATCATGACACCTGCATGCTCTCTTCCCCATTCCCCAGCAGGGACTTCTAGCCCAGTTAACAGAGAAGGAACCGAGTCCCCAGCTGCCACAGCTAGATCATGACTTGGCCAGGCCTCGCAGCCAAGGCCATGCCTCTGGCTACTACCTGGACCATGAGATTGGCCCCCTCATCCCAGCTTCTGTTTCTACCGGGGCAGTGGCCGGGGGCAGGAGGGCTGAAGGTCATGCTGGAGGGGAGGAGGGCAGACCACACCCCTGGCCCGGTCCTTGCTACTGTATACTAGGACCCTGCTTCTGTCTGCTCTGCATATGTGCCTCTTTGGAATTAGAATTTCAGTATATGTTAAAAAAATAAAGGAAAATGGCTTCTAAGGTCCTCGGACTTCCTGTGGTTTTCTTTCATCACCGTGTCTCCACAAAGGGTCTCTGAGGGAGGGGTCCACTCCTCGGGGTACAGGCGGAGGGGAGGCCTGGCCCGCGGCCCGCCTGGGAAGCCTGGTCTCGGAGGGTGGACGCAGCCCCCGCCCAGTGCTCCTTGAGGAACATGGGGTCCTGTCCCGCAGGGGCCCAGTTTTGAGCCCCGCATGTGAGGGATGGGGCCAGGCAGGGTCGAAGTGTGACAGCCCCTGAGCCCCTCTGGCCTCCTCGCAGCGGGACCAGGGACTGCCCAGGTGGTTCTCCTTCTGTTCCTTCGCTCGTGTTTCTGACCCACCAGCTCCTGTGAGGGGTACTGGAGCCCGAGGCACAGGCCCACGGAGGGGCGGGCCCACCCGCCAGCTGCGTGAGCTCCAGGTGCAGGTGATGCTCAGCTGGGGAAGGATGACCTGCAGAAGCTTTGAGAGGAAGAGCAGCCGGGCCCGAGGTCTCCTGGGAGCCCCCGCTCCCGCATCACGGGCCACATCCAGGGGCATCTCCCCCTGGAGGGCTCTGTGGCTTTCGTCACAGAAGGGAGGTCACAGTGGGCTGGCCTCTGCCTAGAGGGTGACAGGGAGCCAGGAAAGGACCTCTGTCTGCCCCTGCCTTTCCACCTGTCCCTGTGAAGCCCAAGGCCCTATCCCTCATCCCCAGGCCTCTCGAACTCACAAAATCCCTCCCTACTCATGGGGTCCCCTGCAGGGTGGGGGCACGGCTGGCGTGCGTGTCCTCATTCAGAGAGGGGAGATGGATACTCAGAGATACTTTGCCCCAAAGTCTCAGGACAAAGTCCATGTCAAGCTGACCCTTGGACCCAGAACCCTGATGGTCCCCGCCTATGCACATATTTAGGGCCAGTCTCCAAGCAGGGACAGCTGTACTGGGAAAGTGAGTGCCTCGTAACAGGGACAGGCCCCCTCCAGTGGGCAGGCTCGCACTTGCCACGTGGCCTGGAGTCTGGAGGCTTAGGGAACCATCGGTTTTGGGGATCACCCTGGGCCACACAGGCAGGTGTTAATACAGATGTAGGCTGAACAGGGAAGGGGTCTCTGGGGAGGTCCTGGAACCCCAACAATGCTCCCAAGAGACACGTGCTTCCTGCCGTCCTCCGGTGGAGGGCTTGGCTGGCGGGGAGGCACGGGCGGCCAGCAGGGCCGGGAGCTAGGTCACCCCAGTGAGGGCTGAGTCAGTGTTGGTGGAATAGGGCATTTTTTCCTAGTGTGCACTGGGCCTGGGGTGTCACCTGGGCTGTCTCAGCCCACTCAAACCGCCACGCACCTCCCAGGCTGAGGACAGGCTGGTCTGAACGGGGCAGTGACAGCCTGGCTGTGGGCACAGGCTATGGGCTAACCCTCGGCAGCCCAGGCCCACCTGTGAGAGTTCCAAGTCTGTCTCACAGTCCTGCTCGGCTTGTCTTCTTATCTTGTCCTATCCTCCAAGTCCCCACTAGGGGCACCGGCCACCCCTACCTCCGCCCGTGTTCTTCCCGGACCACCCCTGGCTGTTCCTTTCCTACTGATTGTTTAGTTAGAACTTCTAGAAACCTGGTGCCAAGAGACAGGGCCCAAGGAAGAGGTTGGGGAACTGGTATTTCTTGAGAAGTTAATATTTGTGAGGAACTTCCCTGGGACTTCATATGCAGTCTTTCTGACCATGACAACATCCTTGGAAGGTAGAAATGACTGCCCTCCTTTACAGAGGAACCCGAGGCCCCTGAAGATGAAATAATATGCTCAAGGCCACAGAACAAGTTGGTGGCAGAATTGGGATTCGAACCTGTTCTGCGTGTCATCAAAGATGGGGCTCTTCCCACTCTCTGGTGCTCTCCCATTTTGTCATGATCTCCATTAAGTTTAGCTTTGGGCCAGCCTGGAAGCCAGGCTTCCTCTGCCTGAAAGGTGTTAAGAGGAAGGAGGAAGGGAAAAGAATACCTGGCTGAAGGGAACTCTAGCTTCTAGGAGAAGCTCTTCATTCTGAGGCCAGCTGGATGTAGTGTCTGCTTAAGACATACTGGCACCACATGACCCCGGCTATTCTTCTGGCACTGATACCATCACAGCCTCCCCTGTGCCCTCTAGTCCTGATGGCTCCTCAATCTGGAAGAAAAATGTCTGTTAAACCTGCTCATCCAGAGGTTGTCCCCTCCCACCAGAGTACATGAGAAAGGGAAGGGCAATGCTGCATGCTGAGGAATAGTAGTGCACTATGAAGGGGACTCAGAAACCATTCAGGCCTGGAAGCAAAAGCTTTGGAGCCAGGCTGTTCCAGACTCCCTATCATAGTCCAGCCTGTGTATTCAGTCTTTCAGGTAGCCCATCTCTCAAGGGTCATCCCTGACTTTGCTCTGCTCATGTTCTGTCCAGCCCAGCACAGAGGAGAGGTTTGGGGGGAATAACTAGAACTGGCATGGAGATTCTGGAGCAACCAGAGCCTTTGTCAGTTCTGTTCATCAATCTTTCATGGAGAGAGTCAATTTCCTGGAAGATTCCATGACTCAACCTCTATTCCCTAGCTTCCAAGCATTCAGGCACCTATACATGTGAGGTGCTTTGCAGGGGGCCACCTATTACCCCATCCACTGGGTCTCCGTTGAGACCAGACAACAGGTCCCTTGCCCCACTAGACTCCCCCACGCCCGAGATGTGCACACGGAGGTGGTCCAGCTGGCTCGGAAGGCTGTGCCTCAGCACTTGGCCCTGCAGGAAGCAGGATGTAATCCAGCAGTTGCTCAGTCCTAGAATATTTGTCTCTCCATTAAACACACAAGAGCAAAGTGTTGCACTTCCACAACCGCCCTACCTGTTCCGAGGCCTCCCAGGAACGCTGGCCCAGATCACATGATTTTCCAAAGCCCTTTAGAGGAAACATCACTCAGGGCCCAAAGATCAATGTTCAGATCAACCTGGAGTTGCTTTTTAGATGCACAGAGATGTGACCTCAAGCATTGGCTCAACCAGTCCTGGGTTTGTAAGCATCCAGGAATCCGTATTTCCCTTTTAACCTTTCCCCTTCTCTCTAGGGTCAAGGGGAATCCCTCCTCCCAGGCCCTGGAGAGGTGCGGAGAGGCCCATGGAGAAGAATGGACCTTTGAAGCTACCCTGGACTAGGGTTAGGCAACTGGTCAGACAGATGCCATCCAGCCTCGGTGGGGCCCGGGACTCTGGTCCTGATCCCATCATCTTTATTTATCTCAAAAGCTCATGTGGGCTCCAAGAGGGGCAAGATGGAAATCTATGGATGACTCAAAGTAGCCATGTGCAACTTGGCCCCAAGGACCACAATGTTTTGGGGGAATTGGTAGATCCAGGGAGGGTCCTCCTCATTTTGGGATTCCCAGGATGGTCTTCAGTATCCCTGAAGCCAAAGCTGGAGCTGGTCTGGAAAAGCACTGGAGGGACCAGTGCCAGGGGCCCGCCCTTGGCGTGGCCTGGCCACGTGCTGACCCATTCGGATTTTTCCATCACTCCTGTGGGTCACACCTTCACTGGTCAGGAGCCTCTCAAGGAGGGGGATAGTGATTAATGTTTTATGGACGAGCTGCTGGGCACGATGCCTTGTTTTCTTTAGGTTTAGAATACAATGAGGGCGATGAATGGAATTTGCTGGGAGCAGGGGGCCATTCTTGGGGCTGAGGACCCACAGGTGGTGATGTTCACTGACCTTACTGTGGCACAGGGGGCAATTTTGGAGGTGGGGAGGCAGGGGAGGGCTTTGCTTGTGGAACCATCATCCCCAGCTCTCAAGAGACAGTTCCCACCATGCCTGGGGCCTGGTGTGCGGAGGCCGCTGGTGAAGGGAACCCAGAAATTTTAATCAGCTTGTTCCGCTCCGGTGCCTCCACCTCATTCCAGTGAAATCACATTCTCTGCATATAGGGTTCTGCTTATTTATCTGTTCTTTCCAGTGTATTGACGGGGAACGAACTGAGGGCACAACTGACCTTCAGCCATGTGGGTCAGTACGGCCTCAGCGGGTTCTTAACGCTGAAATATTTCTGTCTGGTCTGAGCTCCTCAAGTACCTCCTGTCCGGCCTCCCTGGCTACCCTGGCCCTTCTCTGGTCTCTGGTCACCTCTGGGCCTCTCCACAGCCAGTACTCGAGGGGTCAATCCCGTCATCATCGGGGTCCCCCAGGACCCTGTCCAGCACTATCCTTGTGGGCAGTCCTGGTGGACAGGGCCCTGGACACACGTGGTTGGTGCACAGCACCGAGTGGGAACCCGAGCATTCACGTCACATGTACGGATAGGGTCCATCCAGCAAGGTCCAAGTTAGAGAGAGAGAGAGAGAGAGAGAGAGAGAGAGAGAGAGAGAGGGAGTGTTGGGGGAGAGCTCAGTCCTGTAATACATTTGGAGTCATCCTCTGATCTGTCCTAAGAACCTTCCCAGGGGTTGTCACTCGTGGGCACAATTTTGTTAAGGACACTGACCCAGGGCTCTGCCGGGTCCTGCAGCTTAGCCCATGACCAATCCCTGCCACACAAAGGCCGGACAAGTGTCCTCTGTCCACAGCCATGTTGCTACGAACAGATGTCACCACCAGGTACACAGGGGCCTGACGCCAGCCGGCCCCGTGCAGAGCACAGCTTGAGCGGACTGGCCTGGCTGGTGTTCGTGGGGAGGAGTTGCCATACAGTCTCTACAACTACCAAGTAAGCAAAGGGATCTATGATTTGGAGAGAGAAAGTACTGTCTTTTGGGAGGAAAAAAAAAAGAAAGGGACAGAGAGACGGAGACAGAGAGACTCGGTGAATTCAGCCAACGAGTCCAACCCACCAAAAGCAAACCGAAGAGCTGGACGGATGAGAGGCCCCGGGACAGGAGCCCACCACGCAGCAGCCTGGGACGTTTGCAAGTGGCCATTCGGATCCCTGACACCTTACTGACCATGAGCTTTATCTTTTTAAAACACTCAGCTTACGTTTTTCATAATGCAACTTAGATAGAAGTTTCTTATGCCTTG